AGATAACTTTTGTTTTTCCATAATTGTATGAGGTTTCTACATAGTATTTAAGAATCAATTATATTGCAATTGATGTAATTAACTCTAATAATCCATTAAAAGTCAGTAGGAGGGCTATTCAAGTCAATAGAAAAGAAGGAGTATATTATGAAGGTGTTATTAACCTATACAGAATTTTACTAGACATTTTCTTTTCTTACATAATAAATACACAGTGGTTAGGAAGGCTGTCATTATAATTTAATGTGAACAATAGCCCATCACTTCTTTTCCAATGCAACCCTTAACTAATTCCATGTACCACGCACAAGTAAAATGAAACCTTTTCTAATCAGGGTACAGTCATATCAATCATCTATTACTCCACGATTAAAGAAGAGGTCCTTACCCAGCTAAGTGGGAGAGAATTGAGTGCTTAGCAGAAGTTTCAGGCCCACCTTTTCTTTTAGTTGACAAGTCTCCATTTCTGAAGGCTGTCTGCACAGTGTAACTAATCAAAGAGTAAACAGCCATCCAGAAAGTTCTGTATTCTGAACAAGTATTCAGAATGCTCCAGCAACCATCCAATCATCATTGAAGCAAGGCTACACACCATCTAGAACTTTGGAGCGTTCGGCAACTTTTTTGAATTAAGTGAGATGAGACCTACTCACCCTCATGGCATTCTACATACCCACACCACTTCCTCATCGTCTTGCTTGGCCATGGCTGTGACCCTCACAGGTATTTAAAACAGCCAACCTCAGTAGAGCTGGCTTATCATCCCTGGGACTCCAGGTCACAGAGCAAGGCCTAGGGGTTCAGCCTGCTTCCCACCCCTTCTCCATCCCTGGCTAAATGAAGTCAGGAGAATATAATTTCATCACTGATCAACAACCAGACTGTCCTCTGGAAGGACCTTCATCTCTCACTAGGTCCCAGTTCTGCTTTTCCAATGTGATACCGACCAAAAATAGCATCTACATGGGAGGACACTTCCTTATCATTCTTAGCCACTGACCCTACTATAGACTTCATTCGGAATATACAGTGTCAGCTTCACATATGCATCACAGTAGCTGTCCCCAGCTGTGTGGACAGCAAGCATTACCAGGACAAACACCTTTGACACCAAGAACAGCAATGCTCACAAAGGAGCCCCCGGGGTTGTGCGTGAAAGAGCATGGTGCTTAGAATCACAAGATTTGGGATGAACACGGGCTTTGCCAAGAGCTAGAGATGTGATCCAGAGACTATATCACTCCTGTCTTCTCATCTGTAAAGTGACTGGAAAGGGGATCCCTATCCTGGGGCTGTTATTACATGAGCCCCATTGCATGAGTATTGTGTGAGACCAGCATGGGAGAAACAGGCTTGTGAATCAGAAAACATCATACAAATCTGAAACTGTGCTCACAGCATGGTTCGGTCACCAAGAACTCTCGAAGCCAAGGAGAAAAGGGATAAAACAATCACCCTCAAACTTCGGTGCACATGAGCTTCATCTCGAGACATATTTCAAAGCTCACATGCCTGTTTTCCTGGTGAATCCGATTTGAGCCATAAGCTGAGAGGCCCCAGAATAGGCAGCTGGCTGAAAATGGCTTCCCATTCATTCATCAGGTATTTCAAGCACTAGGAAGTCTTAGAGGATACAAATAATGACAAGATAGAGCTTATTGTGGAGCGACTACAGATCTACATGCAGAAAGAAGACAACCATCCAGAAATAGATAAAACAGAAGGCTCTGTGTGGCACAGTAGAAAAGACAGCAAGTAGGTGAGACCTCTTGGAGCTTGTCCCTAGAGCCCTGACATACATAAATCTGTATTCCCTGGAAGGAAATTCTGGTTCGCTCTGGCTCCTCAAGTAAGCACGGCGGGTGCCCTGTGTCCCCTCCCCCACGAACCTTACCTCCAGGCCCCAGAGTCACCGTGAGTCATTGAGTCTTCAGCCAGGAATCAAGGAGAGAGTGTGGGTCCGAACCCCTCTCCTGGAAAAGCCAGGCCTCACAGTGAAGGGGCATCTCTGACTCAAAGGGTTCATCTCAGAGATGGAACAAAGAACCCTTTTCGCTCTGGAGAGCTCCTGATTTATGTGGTCCAGGCAAAGATGGAAGAAATCCACCAGAGGCATGGGCAGCCACAGTGACTAGAATGAGACTTCCCCTCTGAAGGTTTCACTTTGAATCTCCTCCCTAAGGCCAGTCCCGGAGAGAGAATCTGGACACAGCAAAGCAGTGGCTTCAAAGTCACAGCAACTTTCCACATGCCTGGGAGGGGATGGAGAATGTCACCTTCCTTTTTTCTGAAACTCCCATCGTCACTTTGTATAGGTCGCAAGAACACAAAGAGGCTTGGTCCCAGAGTCAGGAGACCTGGGTTGTCGTCCTGCCCCTGTCAGTGACGAGCTAGGCAACAACCTCCCTTTTCTTTGGCCACATCGCTTTCCAAAGAGAAAAAAAAAAAAAAATCAGGATCCTGACGTCTACGTGAGCTACTTCACAGGGTGAACGTGGGGGCTAGATGAAAACCTTCTTTGAAAAGTAGAAAGTGCCACTGAACGGTAAAACATTAATATTAAAGGCCCCAAGGGAAATGGGCGACCTCTGAATTACCCAATTTGGTTATGAATATTGTCCCCCCCATTTGCTCAAGTTCTCACAGTTATGAATATTGTTCCCCCCAAATTTGTTCAAGTTCTCGCTGCTGCTCTGCTTTGAACGTGGAGGTGGGCCCTCTGATAAGTCACCACCAGAGCTTGCTTTGCACAAACAGACCCGCAAGACTCGCCCGCAGGTGCTCCTGAATGCCCTCCGGCTCTCTCCAGGCCTCCAGAAGCTTAAAATGCTCCCATCCGGCCCACCCCGCTACACAGACCCGGAGGTACCCAAGAACGTCTGACCCCTGTCGCATTCATGTGACACCTTTGTTCAGTGCTGCATTCACTTGAGAGGGGAAAAAAATACCTCAACCAGGAAATACATCTTTTACTGCTATTTCATCCTCCCCTCACGTGGCGCTGGAATATCGCTTTAAAGAACATTCTTGTGGCCTTTCCAGTTCTTTTCCTTTAGGTCTGCAAACAGGAGTAACCCGTCCAAGGGGAAACTACTCCCCAGCAGAGCCGTTCTTCAAAGGGGACTTCTTCGGGCAGGAAAAGGGAATGTCTGATACCAGAGCTGAATAAACACAGTCATCAAGCCCAGTGCCAGACTGGAAAACCAGGTCCTCTGAGCAAGCAGCCGGCCAGCCGCGCACCTCAGACACACTCGGGCTCGGGCCCTGCCGTCCCTGTCCTTCTCGGTCCTTCTGGCTCTCCCTCTCTCTTTTTTCCCCTCTTCCATTCTGTCATCTTCTTCACCAAATGCCTTAATGCTCTTGGGTCTCTCAGTATTGTTTGTATTATTATTCATTGACTGAGCTAATGGGCTCTGCAGGTTTCAAAGCCCATTTTTGAACCACAAACCATTCCAGCATCTCTACTCCTGCAACTTACCTTACCTCGGTGTACCTCTAGTACCCTCATCACCAATGCGCCTCAGAAAGTGGGTCCCCCTCAAGGCAGAACAGAAAATTCACACACAGTGTTGTAAGCCCTGGATGGATGGCTGACAAAATCCTAGAGCTTGATGGACCCTCCAAAGGTCATTATTTTCAGGGGGGAAAAAAATGACAAATTCACAGACTCAGAAAGAGAATTGTCTACTTTGGGTTTTGAAAGAGTCCAGGAACTATAAACCCATTTACAACTCAGCTTAGTGTCTCGGTCTACAGAAGTACTTTTAAATGTCTAAGCTAAATTTATACCATAATTAGTTTTTCCATGTGAATAGCTGGTCATGAGTGAAATTCCAAACCATAGGTCATAGCAGGGCTCAGGTTTAGAAATTGGAATTTTGTCTTTTCCATACTGGAAAATTATGGGTTTTTTCTTCTTAAACAATTATAGCCATAAACTTATGGTTATTCAGATAATCTGGACACTAACTAGTTTTAACTACCTGTATATCCATACATACTCACATGGACAGAGACAATCTTGTGTGGATTTCATTAAACACATTATCAAATCAATTAGGTCTTCAGCCACCCAAAAAGTTGTCAGAGTATCTCACACCGATTGGTTTCTTCTTCGTGCTTAAACTCTTCCTTAAACGTCTCTTTGAAAAAGTAGTTCTTTGATGATAAATATACTTGGAAAAGGTTTATAAAAGTCTCCAGTCCCTAATTTTAAAATTAGAAGTCAATTCTTTAATTTACTTAGCTTCTATCCGTAACTGGCTTCTGGCTCACTCCTTATCGTAATTCGTGACCATCCCATATAAAATGCCTCTCTAATTGGCTTTACAAACTTCAGATTTCCACAAAAGCAACAACAAAAAAGAGTCAAAATATAGAAATGGTCAGTCAATACCTGGTTAGTAAGGGACTTCTGGGACCCAAAGCATTATTCCTTTTTTCCCTAATAGTAAGCTCTTAACCTCAACTGCTCAGTTATTTCCCACTGCCCTATCAACATTTATGCATTGGAAATTATCTTCTAAAAGACTAGTTGAGCCCTACACTATATGTTTGACCAGTCTGAATGCCTTTGATTACTGTGGGGTAATCATAAGAACAATCCAATGGTCCTTGATGTCATTAATCACCACCAACAGAAAAGTCCGGAGTAGCCCTGAATTGGTAAACTTATTTTCCTATTTGCCAAGAGCTGTGCAGTGTCTACTTTAGGAGAAGTAGAAAAATCTTCTAATTCAGCTGCTCTGATGCCATATGACAAGGAACACCTGGATATTTAGAACTAATCTCAACAACAAATAGATTTTTTTATACGCTTTTTGTATAGACACCACATCCAACGGCTTGTCAAACAAAGAGCAATAAAAGTTCAGTGACTATTTTTAACCAGTAGGAGTCTAAAATACGCGTAGATTAGGTTCTGGGTTACACAATCCTTGGCGCAAACATCCCCTTAGATGGGCTGAGGGGACAAGGTGGGAGACATTTGTTTCACTTACCTTTGCCCGGGTTTTATTTGTTCTGCAGATAATAAACTTTGGACTTCTTTACCCAACCAGTCATCTTGCACAAACAGTAAACTCTCTCAAACTTTTTGTTCCCATGAGACCCTTGAGAAAACAAAATAGGAGGAAAAAAAAAGGCATGATTAAAATCTACTTTCTTTGGTCAACATCCTAGAATTGAGCAATTTCTTGATATCTTAAAAGGGACAGTCTGGCGTCAGGTTGAGAGTTAGTAAACTCCCTATTGATCAAATGACTAAAATCAGTAATAACGGCAGTCAGGATTCTGAAGTGGCAAACTCATTCTGTAACTATTTCCTGATCTTCCACGCAGAATCATGAAAACCTTAGCCGCATTTATCCTGCGTAAGCAGTAGTTGCTAAACTTCTAGATCACACAGTTCTATCAGCAAAAAGATTTGAGATATATACAATTTGTGCGTTTTCCCTTATAAATTCCATGTGTATTACAGTACTCAGCGTATCAAAAATAAACACACTCTTGGGCACCTGGCTGGCTCCATTGGTAGAACACGCAATTCTCCATCTCAGGGTCATTAGTTCAAGCCCCACATTGGGCCTTGAGCTTACTTAAAGGTAGATATATATATCTCTCCAAAAACAAAACAAACAAACAAACAAACAACAAAAAAAAAACCTTTACTTAAGATGAAATTTTAAAATAAAATAAACAGAAGATTTACTATCTTCCTTCTGGACCTCAAGGGATCGTTTGAGATTCTCCGTGGAGTACCAATATTCTACTTCTGAACACAGTGTTTTAAGAACACAGTGACCTGGAGCACCATGGGGGGGCTCCATGGGTTAAGCGTCTGCCTTTGGCTCAGGTCATGGTCTCAGGGTCCCAGGATCAAGCCCCGAATCAGGCTCACTGCTCAGCGGGGAGCCTGCTTCCCTTCCTCTCTCTCTCTGCCTACCTCTCTGCCTACTTGTGATCTCTGTCTGTCAAATAAGTAAATAAAAATCTTTAAAAAAAAACCACAGACACATTTAAGAACACAGTGACCTACCACTATCCCAAACTCAATCACCACCTTGCTCTTATCAAAACCTGTTCTCAAAAAAAGATCTGCCGTCAGTCATTAGCACCTTATGGGAATGAGGGCCCATCATTATATTAATGCTTCCAGCAGGATTTGCATTTTAAGCATATGCCTAACTAGGAGAAGAAAGCTTTATTTCATGTTAATGTAATATCAGGAATGTCAAAATAACATATGATAGTTGAAGGATAGAAAACATTTCCTGGCGGCCCCCCAGTCAAACAAGTTGGGATGTCCCTTACCTAGCAGAAAGGCCGTGGCAGCACCAGACTTTACATAAAAAGGGTTTAGGGACTGCAAATTGTTTAGAAAAGGGAAGAGTGGGGATGACACAAGTTAGGAGATTTTTCCTAAGGCCAAGCCCAAGTTTCTACTTAAATCGTATGTCATTTAGGGAGTCAGAGCTGGGAGTTAGCTAGACCTTATAGAGGAAGAGCTTAAGTCCTCCAAGTCATGCCCGTGGTCCCCTCAGGACCAAGTTGGAAAAACCTTGATAAACTCCCACAAGGCTGACATGGAATGTCAAAGGCTTTGTAGCCTCACTTTGAAGCAGAAAACTTCCATAATCCAAGAAAAAAACTCACTTTTGCCACAAACAATCAATCCCAGGTACTGACGTAGCTGAAGTACTTAGGTTTACATGAATTCACAAAAAGAGTTTTCCCAGAGAAAAGATAATCAATCAGTCATCGAGGTTATTTTCATCTTCATGAATATGTAGTGAAATGCTTTAAAAATCAGAATAATCCGGGCACCTGGGTGGCTCAGTGGGTTAAAGCCTCTGCCTTCTGCTCAGGTCATGATCTCAGGGTCCTGGAATGGAACCCCACATCGGGCTCTCTGTTCCATGGGGAGCCTGCTTCCTCCTCTCTCTCTGACTGCCTCTCTGTCTCCTTGTTGTATCTCTGTCAAATAAATAAAATCTTTTTAAAAAAATCGGAATAATCCACTAGACATATATATTGATCCAATTCATCAGGTAATTACAAAATAGGCTGCTTGATGTTAGCAAAAGAGAGTGGAGCATGGGGGTATGGGGATAAGCATGTCAGGAGATGTGTCCCATGTGCTTATGAATACACATACAACACGTGTGTGTGCATATATGTGTGTGTATGTATGTGTGTATTTGTGTGTATAAAGAAGCTCCTGCCATTCAGTTTAACATCTGATAAAAAGGTGGGCAGGGGCGCCTGGGTGGCTCAGTGGGTTAAAGCCTCTGCCTTCAACTTGGGTCATGATCCCAGAGTCCTGGGATCGAGCCCCGCATCGGGCTCTCTGCTTGGCAGGGAGCCTGCTTCCTCCTCTCTCTCTCTCTGCCTGCCTCTCTGCCTACTTGTGATCTCTATCTGTCAAATAAATAAATAAAATCTTAAAAAAAAAAAAGGTGGGCAGATCAGGTGCCCATGAAAAGATATAAAATGGCGTATCTAGCATCAGGCACAAAACAACATGACCCCAAACACTTCAAGTAAGTATGCCCTCCCCAAATGAAGAGGAGGGTATAATTAAAATTCATGAATTTCCAGAGAAGTAGGCACAGGCATTTCAGACAGATAAATAAATTGGTGTGAGACATGGGAAGAAGTTTAAATAATACCCAGGGGACACAAGATGCACTAGGATGAGAAAAGCATGCATACCGGGGCAAGTATGAGTTACAATGTTAAAGTTAATGGAGGAGTCTTGTTATATATGACAATTAAGCCAAAATTCAGTTTTGCTCGAAACATCTATGTAAATAAGGCAAAATATGTATTATGATTGTTGGGGTTTTTTTACTTAAAATACCCCTATCATGTCCTTTCACGTTAGGTGAGATAACATAAATGAACAGACCTAAGAAAGCACAATACAATACCAGCTTCATGGCAGGGAACTTGACGAGCGTGTGCAGGAATTCTGCCTGTTCTGGGACCTTTCCGGGCTTTGACCTTTGTTTCTGAAATGTCAAGGGATCTCTTGTGTCATCATGAGCCCCCTCCCCCAGCCCCTCAGAGCTGTTACCGTGAAATGGACATGAACTATGCCAAAAACGATAAGACCTGAGGATTGCTGAACACCACCAATTCTTCTGTCAACATTCCTGTCCTGAAATCTCCTTTTACTGAACAAACCTAGATCACCTTCCATTAATGACATGGGAGAGAAGAAAACTGAGGCAAATAGTCCATTATCTCTCTCCAAAAGGTAATTTTCAAGAGGGAAATGGAGAGATACCACCTGTCTAGTTTCTCCCGTGTTTTCTGGGTTCCACGTTTTGCTCTGTAATTGTCACAAGTCGCTCCACCTGTTCATGATCAAACTGCCAAAAGGAATGGAAGCTCACCAGGAGCAAAATCTGGCTTTTCTGTGTCTTGTATATTCCCCAACACAAATTTAAAAAGTTAGTGTCAGCCTCCACGCAGAGCAGGAACTCAACGTTAGGCAACAGAGGACAGCCTAGTTTTGCTCAGATGTTTTAAAGAATGCATGGGTCAATCAGATCATCAAATGGACCACCAAGCTATGGATTCGATAATCACAAATTTCAATCACTTCGACTGTTGAGGAAGTCAAAATGACTAAACCACAATTATCATATTAGCGCTTACCAGTTTAATGGCCACATACATGGAGTATTGAGATCTACCGCTCAGCAGCAGATTGGGGAACCTGTCCAGTCAAACTGGATTGGAGATGGATTTTAATCTCCACAAGGGTGGAGACTGTTCCTCTGTAGTCCACATGATTCCCCAGTACCTATCACAGCACCTGGAACCTGGTAGGTACGTTCCGTAGCTTGTCATTAAGATGATCGCCACCATTTCTTTCCTTCCTGGAATGCACAAACCATTCCCCTCCTGTGGGATGGACCCTATTTCTCCAACTCCTGGAATCTGGGATGGCTGGTGACTACTTTGATAAACAAAACACAGAAGTGACCTGCATGACTTCTAAGGCTAGGTCTTTTTTTTTTCTTTTAAAGATTTTTATTTATTTATTTGAGAGAGAGCATGAGTGCATAAGCAGGGGGAGCAGCAGAGGGAGAGGGAGAAGCAGGTTCCCTGCTGAGCAGCGAGCCCAATGTGGGACTCGATCCCAAGACCCCGAGATCATGACCTGAGCCAAAGGCAGAGGCTTAACCAACTGAGCCATTCAGGCGCCCCTAAGGTTAGGTCTTAAGAGGCTTTGGCACTCGCAGGTGGACTGTAGAGCACTTGTGCTGGAGGAAGCTGATTACCAAGAGGCCAACAGGCTCTGAGGAAGCCCAAGGTAACTGTGTGAAGAGGAAGAGATTCCTGACCAGCCCCATGCCAGACATATGACTCGGGAACCCTTTAGCTGGCTCCAGCTACCATCTGGAGCCTTTTAGCTAGCCTCCGCTACCATTGGACCGCAACCATATGAGGGACTCCAAGTAAGAACCGTGCAGCAGAATCCATCAACCTCAAGAACCAAGAGTGAGGATAATAAATTGTTGCATTAAGTCACTAGGTTTTGGAGTAGTTTATTACACAGCAACAGATAACTGGAATAGTGTTCAATGCTTATTGAATAATTTATAAAAGCAACCACTTAGAATAAAGGGTTCCCAAATGAACCCAATGAAATCCATTAAATAAATTATTAAGGTGATGTCAACAATGGTAAAGACTATCAGAAAATTGGACAACTCTGTGGATAATTAAGGCCAAGAGGAAATCTGTTACTGGGTAGAGAAAGTAATTTTTTTTGAGAGTGGAATTTTCCAGATTCACTAACCATCTTGACTACATTCATTAGATGATTGCTCAATGCTCTACTTCCCTTTACACAAAATAAACTCATGATTGTGTTCCATCCATGATTCTAGGTGCAAAGTAAGAGAAAATATATTTACCAAGAAGGAACATGGGTAACGAAGGGAAATAGATTTTGCGGAGCCTGGATTTTCTATGAAGACTCTAACTCTTCTCTCTATTCTTTTAATTTTATAAAATAGACTTCGGTCCAGGTACACTGTGTAAAACAACTAAATATAGCCAGAGATCAGGGTGGGTGGGAATGGAAAAGAGACGCTAAATACTGGGCACTAGCAGATCTTACATCATCACATCCCCCATAATTGTGCTATTATGCACACAACACTTCAGCTAGATACGGTCACCACTTTATAATGATAAAAAGATTAATTAGTGACATGATCCATATCTTTCACTTCTTTGATGGTTGTAAATAAGTCTGAGTCATTCTACTATTATTTTTACCATAGGCACAATAGTCTTACCCCTTTTTGATGAGGAAAATAAATACCAAGAGGATGTCTTTAATCTTCCACAGGGTTTTAACTTTGTGCCTTTCTAGATGACACCACACCAGGGTTTGGCCCTCCCTTTCCTGAGTATACTTTTCTTACGGCTGAACAGGTCCTTTCTAATACCCAAGTCTACCCCACCCCCACCTCACTTACACAATCCTCCCCACTTTGCCCCAACATGAACTCACAAACCCCACATTCCCAAAGAGATCCCAGCTCTGCCAAAGCACAAAAGTCATGTTTAGAGCCAAATGAATAAAATATAGAAATACTTCGACCAACTCTACACAACCAACTTGATAATGTGCGTGTATATGTGTGGGTGTGTGTATGTATATACATATATACGTTTGTTTTAAACCACATTGAGAAATGTGTTATTGGCCCTCTCTACAGATCCAATAAACCAGATCGTTATCAAATTCTCCGCTTTTTGGCTGTGTGGACAGGACACAGAGCTCAAGCTGAAGGTCACCTGTGGAGCTAACAGCTCTTCACAGTCACTCTGGGCAGACTGGAAAGGAAGACTGCTTAGCTGGAGAAGAAGCTAGAGCAGCCGTTAGAGAGAATCATCAGATTCCGCAAACAGGACCCTTGAAATCTAACTTAAATACATGGGACTTTCTTATCTGCTAGTGATTCTGTTGTCATGCCATCCAAATCAATTCACAACAGTTTTCTGTCTGGTATTATCTAGCATTGGGGGATAGAGAATTGATTAAGATCTGCCCTCAAGAATCTAGAGAAAATGGGTTATGGAGGGATGACCACTTGGATTTCCTCTAGCAAGGACAAGGAGCATTTGTGCCTGACATTTTTTTGTTGAAACTCAACAAGTACCATCTATGTCCTTCTAAGCTCCCCTCTGTCCCATAAGGGCTGAAAGCCTGACAACTACATTCCCAGACTCCTAGGGCAGTAGTGTTTTTGGTCCTATCTATCACTGAGAGATGCTCTTGCAATCCCTGGAAGATGGAGGGAAAAGCCATTTTTCCCTATCAGGAGCTACAAGCAGGTGTGTGGGCACTAGCAGAAAGCAGACACAGGGCTCTGTGTCATTCTCCTAGGCTTCACCCCCATCGGTGCTGCAGGCAGCGGAGATCATCCACGGCGATCTGACACCCTGCTGATGCCTTCACTTCAGATCTCCTGAAAGTCAGCAACAACATCCTTGACCTTTGTTCCCTCACTCTCACGGTGATTCTGGTTTTCTAATCCTCTACCCTCTTACAGTGAATTCTTCCCTGATGAAATACTTTGAGTACTGACCGAATGTGATAGGTATGTTTCAGTAATAAACACCACTCCGCCCCAAACCCTGAATAATACAACAAAATACAGGTCATTTCTTGTTCAGGTTATAAGCTGAGTGGTTTCTATCTTGTAGCTATATCATCTGAAACACACCTCCTTCAAGATCCCAGTGGAAGAGAAGAAAGAAACAGGAAACATACACACACTCTTAACTCCCTGGACCAAAGGTGGCACCGTACTTATGTTTACACTCCGTTACCAAGAATTGGTCCTCTGGCCTCAATTACATTGCAAGAGTGAGGACATTATGATCTTCCCAAGGCCCCAGGAAGAGAGATCATTTGGTGAAGACATTACATTGCATCTGCCACAACAGGCTTCTATTTTTCTGACTAAACTCGCCTATAATAGTTCGTACAAGATATGGTGTCCTGTAACAAAACACTAAAATGTGTGGCATTGACTCTGTGGTCAGGTTGCCAGAAGCAGATATGTTGGTCTGCATGGCTAGAGAGCCATTACATGCAGTGGAAAAATACTTGGCAAAACTGCTGCTTTTAGTAACTTGGAAGTCAGACCACATGACTCTTAAGCTTGTAGGTGAAAAATAGCGTGTGTTGGTTGTTATTGGCTGCTTTGGTTACCATAATAGAAGAAGAAGAAGATATCAGGAAATAATGAACTCGGGGGGTGGGGGTTGTGTTTTGTTGTTTTTTTTTTTTCTTTAGCAAAGGTGAGAAGAAAAAGTAACTACTAGAGCTCCCTTCTGGTATCGATTTCTAGATTCCTCAAGGTAAATAACACTTGCTGGGAAAACAAACAATCCCCAACAGCTCAGGGACTAAACAAATGAATATGTATCTGTCACTCACAAAAAATCTCATGAGCATGTTCCTGGTTGGGCAGCTTCTTCTGGGCTGCCCTTCTCCAAGCAGTGATTTGGGAATCCACATTCCTTGCATGCTCTACATCTTCTATGCATGGATGACATCAAGGCATTATCTAGCCAGAAGATGGACAGAGAGAGAACAGAGAAGCTACCTGTGTCTTAACTGATCCCCAAAGGGACACATCTCTCTTCATTACAGTTCATATTCCGCTGATAGGAACCAGTCCCCTGGTCCCATATCACCGCAAGGGAGGCCGGGAAATGTAGTCTTCTCCGAGAATTTGCATCCCAGGAGCACCACAGCTGGGCAGAAAGGGAGGACGTATCTTCATTGGCCAGCTAGGCATCTCTGTTGGGGAACTGTGATGTCCCTTTCTTTCTTTGCTGCTGTATCCTTTCTTTCCCCCACATTCATAATATAGCTTTGTGCTCCTTCTAACTCCTCTTCCTTGTCCCTTTTGACAAGTACTTTCTCTCTTGTGTCTTTTGTTTGCTTTTCCTTTCCCCTCTTATTTTACTGTTAAAGATAATGAATCTGCAGCATTCTACTCTCTGAGAAATTTCTAAGCATGAGGTCAGGAGAAAAAGATGGAGCTGTCATCTTGTCCGAATTGAGAAAGGAAGTCATCCCTGTACCGTTTCTCCTGACTCAAGTCCCATCTTATTCTCACTGTGGGAAGTGACAGGCCTGCAGATAGGGTCAGTCAGAAAGATCTAACAGAGCAAACAAAATTATCTGAGAGGTTGGTGATGCTTTTCCTACTTCCTTGTTCCACGTTCTTTGGTGGTATTTTTTTTTTTCAGGGTCCGTGCTAGCTTTGGGATGAAATTTTCAAGTGTTCATTTTTTTCTCTTTATTCAGTTATTAATAGAGACTACCCTTCATTGCTGGATGAAAATGACAAACGTGATCCAGACGGTTTCAACTATTTGATAACACGATGAGAGAGGAGTTTCCTTCACTCATGGATGCAACTTTTATCCATTTTCAGTTTGAAGGCAAAAAATAAGCATTTTTTGAAAATGTGAAATTTAAATATTTATGACGTGCTAATGCCAGATTCCTCCATGAAAGGTGACCAGCCTAGGTCACTAGGGCTCCCTCACAGCCTACCTGACTCTACACTTTATTTGGTGGGGGTGGGAGGTCGGGGGGGTTGTGCTTAGGACAGAAAACTAAGGCCAAAGTTCCTATTCCAATAGTTCCCGTGCTTTGGAATCATCCCCAGTGTAGTGAGGATTGGCCTGCTCAGAAATTCGAGTTTTCTAACTTTAACTGGAATCCATGTCCAGCAAGAACCGATTCTCTCAATTCTGTGTCATTATGCAGCAAAGAGTCCCAGGAAAGTCACGGCCTCTCAGCATCTTTCTATTTCTGTGTGTGCTCTCTTCTCTGGTGAGGTAGCTGACATGAAGCGAGAGCCCTGGAGCCCTGACAAGTTCCTCGAGGCCCTTTTGAGTATAAGAGCGCTATATTTGGGGCAGCAAAAATAATAACAATACCAACATGCTTTACATCCTTGCCAGATATTGTGCAAGCCCTGTGATATTTAATCCTCTCACAAATGTTACAGAAACAGGTATGAAGATTATCGTCCCTATTTTACAGATGGAGAAACTGAGGCTTGAAGAAATGAAGTCACTCTTGAGGAGCTATTGTTATTGATTTTTTCCTTCAGGAACTTCAGCTTGATTCTGTTTGACTGCTGATCCACTCGACTACTAGTCTAATTCCATAAAAGGAACCCAAAGAGTTGGAATAAGGACAATGGGAGGAGGGCAGGTCAAGCCTCAGAAAATAAGGGGTAAAAATGCAAATTTCCACAGAAATTAATCATAACAATAATAACTACCAACATTTCTTGAACACTTGCTACATGCCAAGCACTGCTCTAAATCTTTTATATGGGTTGGGGCGCCTGGGTGGCTCAGTGGGTTAAGCCTCTGCCTTCAGCTCAGGTCATGATTTCAGGGTCCTGGGATCGAGCCCCACATCGGGCTCTCTGCTCAGCGGGGAGCCTGCCTCCCCCTCTCTCTCTGCCTACCTCTCTGCCCACTTGTGATCTCTCTCTCTCTTTGTCTCAAATAAGTAAAATCTTAAAAAAAAAATATTTTACATGGGTTAACTAATCCACGGAATCTTCACAACAACACTTAGAGATGAATTTTATTTATTCCCATCATCCTAATTCTTTTTTTTTTCTCCAAAACTGAAGTGCAGGGGAATTAAGTTTCAGGATCACACAACCAGCAATTAGCAAGATGTAGAGGACTTGAAATAAGAACATCAAGAACCTATTTGTCCTCCATGGAGATAAGAATGGGCAGACTGGAAAGATAGCTCTGGAAAGTTCTTCAGCATAGCTCACCTTCTGTGACTCACTCACGCAGTCCGAACCATCCCTCAGGCAAAGCAGATCCAAGGCTCTGGTGCAACCTCTTTCCTCCATCTGAACGGAGGAAGTTTTGGATGATGGCTGTGTGTCCTCAGAACATCCCTCATCCCTCCCTCACCAGACCACGAGGGTTCCAGTGCCAAGGAGCTCTTCTGTCCTATTGAAAGCAAAGAATGGTTGCCTGTGAAATAAGTACAAAGAGCAAGCAAATTTAGTCAGTTTATGCAAAACACAAAATGGCATCTGCCATCTGGAAAAATACACCAAAGCCGTAAGCCGTCAAGCCCCTTTCAAGACTTTGGCATATAAAATCAACATTTTTTTTTTTTTAACGTCTGAAAGGTCCATGTGAACTCCCAGTTTCATTAAATATAATTCCCTCTTCCCCACTCCTACCACTGGCTGGCCGCTCCCCCAGCCCACACTCCCCCCAGTTGAAATATACGCACATACGTACATATTCACCCCTTCTCAGAGGCACAAAGATCACTGGGAGGGATGCCTTGACAACAGAGAGCTTTCAAAGAGAATATTTTTTTTTAAAAATCACTCATAATTACCTTCTTCTTTTACATTTAAAGTGATTTAAACAAATACACTTGCTTTGGTATTGCGTAAATCTATGTACCTGGAAGCTAGTTTTTCACTGACATTCTGATGGCCCCAGAATTGTGGGTTGATGCTGCTGCTGTCTTCACAACCACAAACTCCTGCTCTTGCCTCCACCTGCGCTCATTTCAAGGCCTTCCAGCCGGCTGAGATCAAGGAGGGCGGTGCTCAGGCTTCGCCTGGGTTTCAGGCAGGGTGAGCGGGGCATCCAGGCAGAAATGCGTCCATCACACAGGCATGGAAAGAAGATGCTGTCCGCGCTTACTTAAGAGTTATGGTTACCGGGGCAGGAGCTGAGACCTGGAAAATCACCAGTGAGGTGTAGGGGGGAAGCAGATTACAGCACATGGACTGAGAAGGGACGGAATCATGGCTGAGGATGAAGTTAAATATAGGTTTGGATTTAAGGAGCCTGGAGCATGGTCAGAAAGAGCCAGTTAAGGGCGCCTGGGTGGCTCAGTGGGTTGAGCCTCTGCGTTGGGCTCAGGTCATAATCTCAGGGTCCTGGGATCGAGCCCCGCATCGGGGGGGTCTCTGCTCAGCAGGGAGCCTGCTTTCCCCCACCCCCGCCTGCCTCTCTACCTACTTGTGATCTCTGTCAAATAAATAAATAAATAAAATCTTTTTAAAAAGAAAAGAAAAGAAAAGAAAAGAAAAGAAAGAGCGGGCGGGCAGGTAAGACAAGATCACTGACCAGCGCTTATGAGACGGTAACTAGAGGCAGGACGTGATTCCCATGGGGCAGCCGCTTCTCGCCCGTGAGATCACTGGCACAGCAGCTCTCTGAGGCGGGTCCTTTACGTCTGAGAAGACTGGGATCCAGGGAAGTAAGGTCACACCGCTGGTGGCAGGCTCTACATTTAAAGATGGGTGGTCTGATTTCAGAGTCCATCCTATCCCCACCCCGTTTGGGGGCCTAGCCTGTACGTATAGCCCAAACAGGAAAGATACATATCCCAGACTATGAATTTTCTCCTGGTTGTCAAATGACAGGCAATGTTTACTTCACATCCTGCTCTGTATTTCTCTATTCTCTACGATAAGAATATTTCAAAGATTACTGGGACAAGAAGCTAAAGCGTGCCTCATGTGAGGGAAAGAAGCTAAAATTTCGTTAATGAAGAAAACTTGTGTTCTCAGGGACAGAGGAGCCGATGAGGCCGGAAGCTGGAGCGAGGGTCTGAGTGGCAGCCAGGACCGGTCCCCGGCTGTTGGGATCAGATTTCATCACTGTCTGTGACCGGGATACACCTTTTATCGGCAACAGTTCAGCTCTTCTAGGCCGATGCCCTTCCAAGGCCAAGGGTGATTCCCAAGATTGGACCTTTGAGGGGAGGAGAGGGGTACTGGGGTGCGGGGGGTGGGGTGGGGTGGGCAGGGGTGATGAGCTGGGGGCAGTTTGCATCTCCCGGGCTAACCTGATCAGATTCTGCCCCTCTTTCCTTAGTACCATTCGATCACGTGTGTTTGGTCCCCCCCCACTGAGTCAGGGTCATCCCCGACCCTGACTCAGAAGGGCCCAGTGACAGGTTACTTTTTAGTTGCAACAAAATTAAGGAGACACAGTGAAGTCTCCTAAAAGCTGGTGTGTTACGCATAACCTGCTTTAACAGAAAGAGGCATGGTGGGGAGTCTGCCAGAACTCACTTAAAACCCTAGCTCTGCTACTTATCAGCTGTGTGACCATGGACAATTTATTTAACCACTTTGGTCCTCAGTTTCCTCATCTGTAAAATGCAAGATGCTAGTTAGAAGGACTGGATTGGCTCAATATATTACAAAAATAATAATTATTATTATTTATTCTCATACCACACTATTAATAATATTAATAATATTCAATTATTATTAATAATTAAATTACTATATTATTCCAGCATATTATTATTTTCATCAGCGACGGTGATAACATCAGATTCCCTCACGGTAGAAGACCCGCTCCTGCCACTTCTGGGACGTTGCCAAGTTGCTACAGAAATGATGTGACAATGGACTCCAATATATTATTGAAATGACATTCTCCAACTCCAGGGGCTGAGGAGCTGGTTGCCACCACAGAACCCCCTTTAGGCCAGTCTTTTGAGTGTCACTTACACCAGTTTGGAAGTAATCTGCTTGCTCGCCCTTCCAGCAAAGGATGTCATGATCAGCTAATGGAAAGTGACAAGAAGGGATATAATGAATGAGAGGGAGTTAAAGTTTGGGATAAAAAAAAAAAAGAGCCTTGTTCTTTTGGGGAATGCACAATGCTAAGCATACCATGTTAAATCGTGCGTGTCAAATAATGGACTAATTAAGAATCTTCATCCAGTTTTTTTTTTCACATCTCATTTTTGTTGTCCTTTCGTAGATGTATTTTCAAATTAGCTCTTAGCTCTTTAAATAAGTACAAAGGGGAAAGCAAAAAAAAAAAAAAAAAAAAAAAAAAAAACTTGTCCATCAGAGAAGCCAAAGATAAATGTAAAAGGAAATGCACCAGGAATGGAGATGAGGGCTTTGCAGGATATGTTGGGAAGTTTTATAATCATAGCAGCAACTTCTTAAATAATGGAATTTAATAACATATAATAAACTATGATCTAGTAGAACTCTGATTCAATCCCACTAATTGTTTGAGCCAGCGAAATGAAGGCAAAGTTTATCGTGCCAACACACTGCTAATGCCACTGAACACCGCGGGGGACGGACTATTGTTCCCAGCTGCCTACCTCCTCTCACCCAGAGGGCACATGGTCGCTGCCCTCCGAACACCAGGCTGAATCCCCAACTTTCAATGGCAATCCTAGTTCTAGGACTTTAAAGTCACAGAATGTAATTTTTGCAATCAACAAACTATTGTATTAAGCTGAGAACGGAGGGATAACTGGATACAAAGCCTCCAATTAGGTTATAAAAAATAATAACCAATATGCTTTCACGCTAATGCCAAAAAGTACAAAAACCTATAATAAATCTAATTGAGCACATGATCATAAGCACTGTTTTTCTACCTACATAGTTCTGCTATATTAAGGTATACTCCAAATAGAGAAACACTTTTTTTTCATTGTTATTGAAAAGGGTGCGCTTTTTTTCTTTTTAATTCAGATCATTTTACCAATATCAAATAATGGGAAGGTGTAATGAAGGAAAATGATTTTTTTCTGTCAGTACTCATTGATTATGTTTAAGCATAAAAATGAAGAAAGGAATTGCAGCAATTATCTGGATAATTCAGATCTCCCCCAAAAGATTAGAGGTCTCTAATAAAAACATATTGGTTTTGCCTGAATTACTCAGATAATAGCCTTAGTTTTCACTTCATAAGTGTGGACCAGGCTATTGACGAAAAATCTTCTGTAATCATTTAAAAGGTTTTTTTTTTTCAGGTTTTTCTGACAATTCAGAGTATGATTTCTTTGTACCTAAATGTACAAAGTACCTCAAAAATACAGTCTAAAATTCTACAGAATATTTTTGCAAAGCAGCTATTTAAATTACTAAAAAAAAAAAAAAAAAAGACAACAAATGTGCAAAATAGGTATTCCCTTCCCTTTCCCAAAGAGGTCCATGAAATCTTGGTGACTTTTGGGGGCAAAAAGGGGAGTGAAATACCTCTGTAAACTGAGAGTCTAAAAACAGGAAAATTAGTCTTGGGCCACGGCTGTGAGCAGCTAATAAAGAAAACATCGTTAGAAGAGATTAAGGTTCAAATCAAGGTCAGAAAAGAGACTGGTTGAGGGAAAATGCCATGTCCCAGTGCGTAGCCGTTTAAGTGAGACAGTTTCCCCCTGAATCAGTCTTAGGTTGAAAAATTACACTGTTGGGGTTAATAAAGAGGCTGGGCATTTGTTTGGACTGAAACTTCAATTAAAATGTTATTTGGGGCAGCCAGAGCTAATGTCTTGCTTAGAGGTAAACTGAACCGCCTTTTAAGAGGTTGGAGGAAAAAAAAAAAAAAAAAAAAAAAGAAGCAGCAGCAGAAGAAAAAAGACCACCTAATCTGTCAAAGACCCTGAATAACTGGCAGGAAGAATTGTGTTTGCTGGACCTGTGCCCAACTCAGCAGTGAGCATTCTTAAGGGTTTTGTGACATCATCTGGGGCAGCTGAGGTTTTCGGAGTTTGTGATTGTTGCGCTAGGTCAGGAATCTGCCGTTCAGCTGAGCCTTCTTTGAGACAAAGAAAAAAATCTGGGTGGTGTAATATGCCAAGGTTTGGGCTTGGTGTTTTTGTTTTTGGTTTTGGTTTTTAATGCCCCAAAAGAGGTGGGACCAAGAATTCCGGGTCTTAGTCTCATGATTCTAGCCCAGGAACAAAAATTGTTGAATACAGTTCGTTGAATTTCTCCGTCCATACCAATTTGCCCACAGTTCAACAAAACCACCAAAGTTTGCTTTCATTTCACTTCTTTAGGGTAAGTGAAAATCCGCCCTGAATAAGCTCCTCTCCCCTATATTCACTCCTGGCCTCCACAGAGATTCATTACACATGTTTGCTCTGGCCAGCATCAGGCATATCTTGGTCAACAAAGCAGACACGTTTTCTAGCCTTTAGCGCTTGAGGGAAGGGAGCGCAGTCAATACGTAGAAAG